GATAATGCAGTGTTTTGAGGAGCAAGATTGGGAATTTCCTCCCTGTTTTCCAGCTTGCAAAAGTCTTGAAATAAGCTCTCATTTATTCCCTGAATCTTCCTTTGGGAAAATCTTTCAACCTTCCAAAGATTTTTTTCTTCCATAAAAATTCTTTTGAGCTAGAATTCTAACTTGATATCAGTCTCTAGTGCAAATGAAACATAAAATCACTTTCTACAAACACTGGTGATCAGAGAAGGCTGACCTTAGCCCTACTCTGTTCCTTCTAGGGATTACTGTAACTGTGGTTATTGAGGAGGTAGGAGAAATATTTTAATGGAACTCCAGATGTGGTTTGCATCCATGTGTGCGTGTGTGTGTATAGATGAAAATATTACATTTATATATGTGTGTATGTATATATAGGTACTATATATATGTGTACGTGTATATGTATGTGTGCATTACAGGGATTTGTGTTTTCCACATTACTGGGAACTCATATTGAGACAGTGACATTTGATTGCATCCTGTGAGATGAATAGTTTACACATAGCTGAATAACAGAGTCACTATTTAAGCCGTAAAATATTCTGGTTTGCACCACTTTCATCTTGATAGACGTTAATGTAAGTTTCTTTTGCCAAACTGAAGATAAACTGTTTGTCTTGCAGTCTCATTCCAAAATAGAGAAATTACTTAAGTGCCTCACCCCTAAAAGGAACAGTATGTGATGAAACAGAATATGCCTGAACTTATATTTAATTTTGCTGACAAATGTCTTTTGAGTGACTGACTGTTCCTCAGCTTCTTTCCCAGTCCTTTATTTTTATGAGTTTTTTTAAAACACTGATCTTTCCACAAACTGGTGACACAATGACATTTCAAGATTGGAATTCGTCAGAACACGTTTGATGAAATATATTTAACTAAAATATTCTGCTTCTTAGATGCCAAAACATTTTTCAGAGGTGCTGGTGTTGATGAATGGAGAGTTTTATGTATCCCAGGTTGAGGTCTCTGGTTATGTCTGATCTGAAAACAATCTCTCTAACTCAGAAATAGATGTTTCAACACAATTCCACACCCTTTCATTTTATTTTTTTTTTGTTTTCATTTCAAGACCATACGATAAAATTGGAAAACCTGCACAGTTTTGGAATGGACTTGTTCCACTATCAGCCAGCTCTGCACGATACCTTCTCTCCCACAAATGACTTGTGCCAGGTTTCCAGAAATGGGTGTGGGACTACAGCTATTGGGTTTTTTTTTTCCACAGAAGTCACCTGTCATCTCCCTGTAGCTTGAGCTTCCACAGACTTCTTTTTTTCCACTGAGTCAGGCTGTGAGAGCAGACCACAAGCTCACACTCAGCCAGGGCTGTGACTCGGCTGGTTGACTCCGGGTTGCTGTTCCAGCTGTCCAGGCTGGTTTCAGCAGGGCGACCACTGAGGGTACATTTTTAAAACACAAACAAACAAACCAAAAAAAGTTTACAAATGTTTGTCTTCAAATTCCTGCATGAGGGCAACTTAATTGAAACCCACACCTGGTCGAACAGGGTTAGGCTGTGCCAAAGAAAGCCTCTGTGCCTGTTTCATTTGAAACCAATGGAGGGGAAGATAGTTCGTTAAGTCTGCGGTTTCCAGAAATGTCTCTGATGTGGAGTTAAACTTCTTATGTTTTGAACTCTTGTTTTGTTAAATGAGTGCAATGTTACTTGTACAGCCTGAATTTTAATGACCTGTTTCTTGGTTTAGAAGATGCAGTCACATTTTCAACCTTTGAGGCTGTGGTTGGAGATTAGGTAGATAAGTTAAAAGCCTGACCAACTCCCCTAATTAGGTTTTGGTTCTTGCAGTATATGCTGAACTTTACAGGTCATATTTCCACACATTGAACTCTCAGTCTATTTCCCAACACACCTTGAACTTGGAGTAAAACTTGAAATTTCTTATCAGAAGTATTTTTTATTTGGATTTCCTGGAAGTCCTGGACTTGTCTCACAGAAAAATACTTCTTTTTTTTCTTTTCTTTTTTTTTTCACTAAATTAATGCATCCTTTGAAATGGTGAATGGTTTCAAAAAGTATCTCTCATGTGAGTCAAAACAGGAACTGCAAATACTATGTTCTTCTTTGAAAAGCAGTCGACACTTCTATCACACTTCTTCCATTCTCCTTGTGTTGGCATTCTCAGAAATACACAAGGGACAATTTTCCAAGAGGTCATAACCCACCAACATATTAGGAATAAAAAGTAAATAGTACTTGGAGAGGTGGCCTTTGGAGAATGGAGAACTGGTACCTGTCTGACAGGCCGTGGGCTCCTGATCCCCCAGATAATTTGTGAAAATGGGACTTGGGGTGGCCAAAGAGCCATCATAAAATGACCTGCAGACCTTTGGGAGAGGCATCCTTAGGGATGGTCTGTGAAGATGGTTTGACACTGGTAGCTGTAAAATTTAGTCTGGCAGATTGTAAGGGTTTTAGCAAGTTTAAACTACCTCACATGCATGCTCCACAGCTGGTGGGCAGGAATCAAAGAGGAGCTTATAGGGGATGTCACTGAGATGAATGCAGAACATTAAGGCAAAAATATCCAACTCCACTTTCTCCAAGTAGGAATTTATCATTGTGCCTAGCTGTTACAGTGGGTGGTCTCTGTACTACTAATATGATGTAGCTGTTAGAAAGGTATTTCCATCTCTCATAATTTTCTAGTGTTTGCTTACCCTTGCTGTGACACTGCTATTGACTCTGAAGTTGTAATTATAACTAATATTTCAGTAATCCTGATGATATATTGCAACAAATTGACCAACAATTACATAGGAAACAGTATTGTGGCAGTCACCAGGGACTGCCTGGCATAAGACAACTTTAATTAGACCTGACTAATACCTTATCCTGCCTCCAGGGTACAGAGGATTTTGAGTGCTAAATGCTAACATTTCTATTAATTTACATGATCTTAGGAAATGTCTGTTTGCTAATTGTTCAAATGAAGGAGTCTCCTTTTGCAGAAATAGTGTAGTTTACAGAACATGGAGGAAAATAATTTCAGCTGCTATTAGCTTTAGTTGAAACTGCCAGCATACTGAGTTGCCAAGATCAATCAGTTCTGTAGGGAGAAGAGGAAGTGCTTGCAGATGCGTCTGGCTCCCCTACAGGCACTAAGTTGAAATGTCTTCTTCCTGTATTCAGAAAATATTTTGAAATTCAAAGTATGTGTGTAGCAATTTAATTTGGTTACCCAAAGAACTATGCACATGATCTGGAAAGGAAAACTACCCTTTTCCACTCCAGCCTCTGCAAGAATGATGTTTCTATTTTGGTGAAACCTGTGGCATATGTCATTTTTCTTTCAATATATTAGTGAGATGCAACATGACAAGCTCTTGAGATTTATAGGCTACTTGTAAGGGATCTTTAAACCACAAATTAGGAAAAGACAGTCCTTATATTCTGTGTCCAACCTCAAAATACATATACATTTGCTTTTAAAAATGTGCAGTTTCCACAAGGGGAAATCACAGTTTGCAACAAACACCACAGGAGAGATTATCAGATACCGACCTGTCTGTCAGTTGAGGGCTGCCATTCCAGATATCCCTATGCTTTCCTCCACAGCACCTCTAATACAGGCACTACCATAATCCCTGTTTTCCTCTTGAACTGCATTCCCAAATGTAGCTCTGCTACAAAACCAGCCCCTCTGTGGTGGCTTCAGGGCAGTGGAAGAAATGCATTCAATTACATACACAAACATAACCATGGAAAGTAAAATGGGTTCAACTTCTCCCATATCTTTCTTATCTTGCTTGTTTCCTAAGCTTTGGAACAGGAGCCTTGTTTAAATGTAAGTTAGCATAACACCCTAATTTTAAATATGGACCTGTAGGCAGCAGTATAACATAAGTGTTAATGCAGTAACTTTGAATGTAGACCTTAGCTGAACCCTAGAGCCATGGTGGTTCTGCAGTACATATACAGTCATTCAGGGGTGATCCTTTGCTTGGATAAAATGCTTCCATTCAAAAGCAACGATAGTGTTTGAATTAATTAAGTTATAACTGAAGTTTTTCATGATGCTATCTTAAAGAAATAACTTGCAGTGGTACCCACAGCCTAATCAAAATCAGGCTTTGTGGTTTTAGGTGATGCACAAATACTTCTGTAGACCTGAGGTGAAAAATGTGGAGCATTTCTAAGGGAATTAAGAACCTCAAACTCACCTTTTGAAGTAATCTTGCTACTTAGGAGCATATTTTCAAAGTGTTTATTGTCCCTTTCAACAGCAGCAAAGAGCAAATGATGGAGAGCTGCGAGTCATAGGCTGGGATTTCGGCAAGCCTGAGGTACCAGTGTGCACATCTGCAGCTATTCACACCTAGGTACTTCTAGAAACCTGAGCCTAGATACCTCCCTATATTAAAAAAAATGGAATTAATACCACAAAGCTTAATCATGAACAGAGAAATGTGAGCCAGAATACCTTTAGAAAACAATTTTCAAAGGTATACTTTCCCCTCAAATTGTAAATAGGCTGCCTGGAGAGTTTATTATATGAGGTTAGTTACAGCAGTAACTTGATTCTGACAGCTGTCTGTCTGCTTAGCTATGTTGTTTAGCAAACCCGTAGTTATGCTCCCAAGCCACTGTTGAAAATTGTCTTTAGAGTTGCCCTGAAGCACCTGTACTGTGCCTGGGAAAGGAATGCACAAAGGAACAGAGCTGTTAAAAGCAAATACTTACAACAAAAAAGATATTTTTATGTTACAAGAAATTATACCTCTTGTGTAGTATGCCTTCAAAATGTTAGAAGCATTTCTGTCTCAAACGTCCTGTGAACAGAAGGCAGAAGAAAAGCTCCTTAAAGGCTCAGGCTCACTTTGAGCTTTCACTGGTAGAATTGGGGTTTGTCTGCTGTCTTGTATAAACTAATTTAATGCCATTTTTTCTGGAAGGACATGTTATCTCTTGATCTTATTGGTCACAGAAACTTTTCTTTGTGTATCAGAGAGACAATCATTCACACCATTTAGAAGAGGCAGCAAGGATTCTCCCTCCTGCAGCAGCTCTTCAGCCACAGGAGTTTCTGTAAGTGGTTTCACATCTCCCCTCAGCTTCCCAGCATTGTCCTACAGTACAGACTGCCACTAGCACAACCAGATTGAAGTGAGACTTTAATTAATCTGGTGGAATCAGGAAGAGGGCTTGAGCATGGCTGTGGTGTAAGATACACTTAAAAGAATTTTTTACTGTGTCTGAACCAAGCTTGAGTTAATCCTGAAGCTAATTTGAGATCAAAAGCACAGAGACTGTTTGAAATCTTATCTGAATCAGATTACCAGATCATTTAAGGCAAACATTAAATAAGATTGCTTCAATTACTCCAATCAGTCAATCTTGGTAACTGAGATTGAGTTCTTCACTTCAGAGGCTGATCAACTACTGTTGGGTTTGGGTAATAAACGGGGTAAATTAACTGGTGTGTATTCCTTAGTGCTGCAGTTGGGCTTCTGGAAAGAGCTCCTCCACGTTTGGACCACACCATGGCACGGGCACAGCTTGGGTTCACAAGTCTGGGGCTATTTTCTCCAGCATACCAAGGGCTCAGAGTCAGCGTTTGAGTTTTGACCTACTGTCAGTTTAGGCACAAAAAAATTCTCACCTTTCCAGGAGCATTGCCTTTCTTAATAGATTTAGACCATTAGATAAAACAATATTGTAACACTCTGTGAAAACTGAGTGACCACAGGAGATGATCACTACAATATGAGATAATTATTAAAAATGTTTTAACTGAACCTACAGTTAGAACCTACCTATAGTACACTAAAGTTCTGCTGAAATCTGACAAAATCTGCTCATTTAAAAATGTACCTGTGTGTGAGGAGATTGGTTATTTCATCTGTAGTGGTTTGTGTTAGAAGGTAGATAGCTCAGATACCAAATATCAGGTTATATGCACAGAATTTTGCAGATATCTTTCCTAGCAGAACTTTTATTTTTTTTTCTTTTTTCTTTTCAGGATTGGTTTTGGCTTGAAGTTCCCATGGTTTAGAGTTCAGTTTGGGCAGCTGGAATTCAAAACTGGAAATGTGGGGCCAGGTTTCTGCTCTGCTTTCCAGTGCCCACCCCGAGTAAGGTCCCTGGGTATATCCCAGCCTCTCTTCCCAGACTCTAAAATGACTGACAAAGGGTTTCCCTGCCTCAAAAATGAATTGAAGCCTCTGATCAATTGCACAGAGAAAAGGGCTTTTACTTTTCCCCTTGGTTTTATGCTGCTTAGGACTTGTAATTCTTACATATATCTTTCATTTTGGTCATTCCCTTTTTTGTTTGGAGTAGGAAAAATGTATAAAGTTGTAAAAAAAATTGTTGGTTTTTTTTTTATCAGAAAAAAGAACCTGTTGCTCTGAATTACAGATTTTCAGCTCCCAAAAATATAAACTTGTGATTCAAACTAGAACCAGGCATAGGTATCTTCTTTTCCTTGCTATAAATGTAGCTATTTCTCTACCCAAAATGAGACTCAGATTAAGGCCAACAAATTCCTTGGGCAGAGTCTGAATTCAGAAAAAAGCTGAGGCCCCAAGCCACCAAGTCACCTCCCATGTAAAAGAGGCCAGAGGAATCAATAACATATGTACTTTACAGCATGGCAGTAATAGTGGAATTTTACAGTGGCTTTCAGTTATAGCCTTGAAATTTATTTCTTTACCTTCTGTGTATTAAAGACACATAACACTTGCTGGGAGCAAACCAAGAGATGTGCATTAGATCCCAGTACATCAAACAAGCCCCAGTGTAATGTAGCCACCCATTTATTTTGGGTGCCTATGGTATATGACAAGCTCAAATATGCTTGCCTCTCTTTCCACATACACTTCACAAATTCACAAGACATAGCTTTAATATTATTAGCATATTGTTATTTAAGAAAAAAAAAAGAAAATTCTTCATTAAATATAATAAACATCTGGTTGTGATTGGGGAAGAGATTGCTATTTGAAGTCATTCTGAGAGGCTGATAATGCTTCTCCTAAAACTATCTACAAAATCTCTTCCCTCTTATGCCCCAAGGCCTAAAAATATGTATTTTTTTCCCCTTTGATATCCTGATACTTTCTCTCAGGAAAGGTCTAGTAGGAAAGAGTGCTTAAGATCCAAGGGAAAAGTTCTTATCTATTGCCTCAAACTACAGCTTTTACCTGCTTAACACCTGTAGTGTGATTGATAACACTTTACAAGATGAGATAAAGACCCTTAATGCCATCAGCAATATTCACACCCTGGCAATCTTTGCTCAGAGAAATGTGTATTAATGTGTAGTATTGCCATTAGCAATATTCACAGCCTGGCAATCTTTGCTCAGAGGTAATGTGCATTAATGTTCTGTTATTACAGTAGTAGTTTCTATTTTCAACTGTAAGCCAATTTATCGGGGTGTGTAAACTTTGCTGAGGACATGCAGTCCCAGCACAAATATGACCAAGCACATTCTTGTTTCATGATTAGATCTGTATGAAAATGAGGAGGCAGTGCCTGCATTTGCTTTGTGTTGTGAAGCAGCTGTAGACAAACCTGTTGCTGTGACAATGTGAGATAGCAGTTGGGAGATTTGGCACACAAGCTCAGCCTGAAAATCTTCTTATTCCTGTCTGTGTCTTCTCAGATGTGACGTACAGCCTGGTGAGATCCTACACAGGTTTTCACACCACCCTTCAGACACCTTTGGGAAATGACAGATATTTTAGCAAAAGCACAACCCTATACTTTGTTCTGCACTTTTCTTAGTTCACAGCCCCAAATTTTGGAATGTCACACTGGCTCAGAAACCCTGGATTTCTCTGACCTAACTTCTTGTGTTGCTACTGTTTGTTTTCGCAAAATGAGTGTTTGCTGCTCTGTAGTGGTGTAAATGAATTCTCCCGGGTGCCAGGGAGAACATCAGAAATTCAAACTAATAAAAAGTAGCAAAGAAATAAAAGGAAGGAAAATCAGAAAGCAGAATGATCTTAATGTCCCCTGGGGCTGTACAGTTGCAGTAGTGGGAAAAGAAAATTTCATTGTAGTAGATCTGGGAGAGAGGAATAGGCCAACCCAATAGGACATCCAGAAGTTGAGGGCTATCACTTGGACTGCTGGCATTTAAGGACAGTCCTGCCAGATGAGGCTTGATAGCATTTATACCCACCAGTCTACAGGACAAGGCAAGGAAGGATCAATTCCAGATCCTCTGAGCATGCCAGATTTGTCTATACTGTGGTCTTCTTCCAAGGCAGTGCTAATCTCTGTGCCTCCATAGTGTGAAATCCCACCCTGACAAAAATATTTTCAGCCACTGGGGTTTTCTGAAGAAGGACACATCACTCTGATCAGCTCCTGCATTAAGGTTATTAAATAAACAAGTATTCCTACTCATTCCAGGTAAAATGGCAGGTACCACCTGGCTGGAGCTTTGTCCATGGAAGAAGGCAGAGGTCTCCTTCCCTTTTGCATCACAAAAAAAACCCAAACTCTTCAGGGGACACAAAGACAGACAATGTTTGTAAAGCTCTTCCCGATCACTGGCTCTGTAGGGAAGTGTTTTAAGACTTTTTTTGGTGTGTAATATTTTTAAATAATAACATCAATGATCTCTGATCAATGACAGAAAGTGATGCCTTAAATACCTGTTAAAAAAACCACTGTGTTATGATCTCATCGGCAGGATAGTTGTGCTTTCTAATTGTTCATTTCCATTGCAGAGAGTTGATAATTAAAGATGTCATGTAGACCCACACAGGAAGGAAAGAATTTCACAAAATATCCTGTTTCCCATCCATCAGATGGGAATAGAGTGGGGGCTGAGAGAATGAATCAAAGGATGAGCACAAGAATATAAAGCTAAAGCTGCAATAGTGACAATAAGGGTTTGTTCTTTTCCACAGGAGCCTGTCCCAAGAAAGGATTCCTGATGGGACATTTCCTGTTCACATTGCTGTCTTTCTCATGAGAATCCACTTTCAGACCCCCATGCCTCCTTGTGGACTCTGACAGATGGTGGCATCCAACTGGACCCTGACTGAGCAAAGTAAGGAAGAGTCAGTGACATGAGATAATACTGGTGCTGCTGGAGTGTGAGGCATAATCCACAGCAAACACTCATGTTACAAGAACTGCAACAAGAGTAAAAAATACCTATGTGATTGCTTGTGGCCACTCCAAATGAAAACAGTGCAACAGATCTCAAGAATGCAAAGATGCTCCAAGAGCTTTATTCTGTTTTGGTTTATGTAGGCTAAATTATACCTATGGGGTCCTGCTCCTGTGAAAAGATTTCTTGGAAAGTGTTAAGCATATCTGATGCTTATCAAGAATGCTTAGGAATAATCAAATATATTTGATACTCTGTATAATTGCCCTTGGAATAGATGTTCTGCCAGTGGCACTTTTGGTCTAAATTCCTACTCCTATCTGCCTTGAGGGTTTGAGAAAGCAATATTTGCTAGGTAGATATGCTAAGGATGCTGTTCAGCTGTACAGCAGCATGCTGTGCCTATGTAGTGGCACCCTGCATCTCCTACTGAGAAACTGGTAATTTAGTAATTAGTAATTCACGCATTCTGAGCCTAGAAATCTCTGTCATTAACTTGGTACCTCTTGTAGATGCCAGAAGAAACCTACCCAGAAAACACCCGACCTGTGGAAAACATTGAAGATTTTTTTTTTAACTCTTGGGTGGCCTTTGGAAAGAAAAAGAAAAAAAAAAACAAAAACCAAAAAAAACCCAAAAACAAAAACAAACAAAAAAAAAAACAACAACTTATTAACCAGGTATCTAATTCCAAGTTTCAGAAGTTCAGTAGACACCAATATGTGGAGAATATAAAACCACTACAGAAAGCATATGAGACAGAAATAACAGAGAAATTTGATAGGTCTGATGTAAAGTCCCAGATGGATCTCCCTACTCAATGGGACTCTGTTGGTTCTAGAGAAAGAATCTAAAAGCCACTGGGAAAAAGCATTACTTTTCCACCTAAAACAAAATTTCCACTTTTTGAAAGTACTTTTATTCCTTATAAGTTGGCAGAAACTTTAAGAAGAATTGATAAGAAAAAGGCAGTGCTGTCCTTTAGACTGAGGAGTCTGGTACTCTTGTCCAGTCCTGATGACATCTGCCTGGCTGAGTGCAGCCACTGAACCCTGTGGGTACCACATGAACAACAGATGCAAATCCAGAGTCCTGTCCTGACAGAGAGCATAGTCAGTGTTGCTCTGGAAAAAGCCTGTGACACAACCTTGGAAATTGTGAAATTTAATGTATGTTTGAATTCCTTCTTCTGTTAGACTGATACTCTGTTATTCTACATTTTATTGAGGGGTTTATGAATTACTAATCTTAGTTCATAACATTATTGGATAATTAATACAAATGGTGGAAAACTGAGACAGGATGGATTTTTGAAAACATCATCACATGCTCAAGTTTCCAGTTTTGTCCCTAGTGACATTGTCCAGAAAGCAGTGGCCTTCACAGTAGCAAAAACTTGACCATGCACTTCTACAAAAGCAGGTGTGAATTTTCTTTTATTTTTTGGGCCTCTAGTGGTCTGTTTGGAAGGAATTAGTAAGGGCTATAAAATAAAGGTTTTCTTTGGAACACAAAAATTAAAATAATCAAAAGCAGTGTAGAACACAAATTTTCACAATTTTCTGTGGACTTGAGGTATTTGATACACTCATTGCACAATAGCAGCAACACAGTTTAGCTATTTAAACAGCTATTTAACCACAGTTTAGCTGGTTTAAATACACTGAAATGCTCTCTATTACATCTGAAAGAACAATTCCAGAAGAACTAAAATGGAGAGAGCTTTCTCAGTAATTCCTCTTCCAGAATAACTCTCCTACCACTGTTGTTCAGGAATAACTGTAGACCCTATCTGTGATAGCACCCACTGGAGACAAACCTGCACTGGCTGACACCAAAGGGAATATCATACATTTCCTTATCATATCTCTGAATAGCCCATCAAGATCATCTCAAAATGAAAGAGAAGTTGCCTATGGGTTGTGAGAGGTGACAGCAATTACTAAAGGAATTATGTGCCTCACTGAAAAAAATTCACACTTACAGTCTTGTATTTGAATATTTTCAGTATTTTCAGTTCAGCTAAATCCTACTGAGGAAAGGTGGTTTAATTTGTCATTTGTTTTTTTTTCTTTTTTCTTTCCTTTTCCTTTTGACTAATTATTGCTTTTTACCTGAAATCACTGTTTATATCATTCAGTACTTTATCACGAAGAACACCTGTGTGGAAACTGGAAGCGATAAGGAAATTTTCAGTATATCACTGTTTTCTATTAGCTAGGTGTGAGCATGTATAGAAGTTGCTCTCTGTCTCCTATTTAAGTAAGATAAGGGAATTGTGAAGTGGGGAGTGTTCTACACATGGTTAATTTGTAAAATCCCACCTGAAGAGATAAACACTAGGAAGCTGTAAATTAAAGGCAAAAACAATGTCTCACAAATGTTCACTAAGGGACTTTATCATTCAGTTTTGTTCCAGAGCGAATCTTGTGTTATTTTCTTATTTCTATAAAACTTGTTAACAGCTATGCCACAGAGAGGTATTCACTTACATTACACTTGGGCACCGTGTTTGCGCAGCTTCTGGGTGTTTTACTGAATTAGTACTTGCAAGGATGTATAGCTGAATACAAATATAGGGAGAATCCTTAATATAATAGAGTGGGTTTGGGGCAAACAAATTCCGAGGGGTTGTGCTGAGCAAATATGAGCGCTCATCTCTGTAACTTCTCTGGAAGTAGAGAGGAAAGAGGATTTGTCCTTTGAAAATACTCATTTGAAAACATCCTGACCTGAAAATAACACAAAGAATGAAGGATGGACTTTGTGGACAGCACTGGCCTGGGAATCAGGATACCTGTCATGTGTTTGCACAACTTTTCCTTTCCCTCACAGATGAAAAGTGCCTAAATAGTGCTGGATTCAGAAGCCTCAATTCTTTTGTAGGTCTGTCAATTTCCTTCTTATTTTTGAGTTCCCTGATGAATACCAATGCCACTATGCTTCTCACTTCCTTTAGACTGAAAGCTTCTAAACTGCTCTTGCCCCGTTCATACTCCTGTGAAGATCTTACATTCCAATGTAAGATTGATCTGCCTCACTCAGACTGATGTAGTTGAGTGCCTGTAGTCAATCCTTCACACACAGAGTTGAAAAGCACAGAATCACTGTTGTCTAACCCAAGGCATTCTCCTACCTCCATGTTTAGTATGCAAATATGGAGCCTGGCTTTTCAATCTGTTGAATGCCTAAAGCATCTTACCTCTCTTTGAAGAGTTGATTTTGCTTATCTTACTTTTTTAAAACTTCTCAAATATCCGCTTTCTCAAATATCTTATACAAGACAAGAATTCTCAATGGCATGATGCAGACCTCCTAGGGTGCTAGCCCATCACTAGCTGGGCTTGGAAAACCTTACCAGTCTTGCTCTGCATTGGTTAAGATTTATCACTGTAACTACACAGACACAAGATAGAAGTCATGTTTCCTGTGACACAAAACAACCAGGAGGCTTTTGTCTAGCCCAGAGATCTTGACTTTGCTTCACTGATCAGCCCTATGTCAAAAAAGCCATCCTGCTGCTTTTTAGGGTTCTTCTCACAGCTCCCTTTGTTTCCAGAGTGACTCCCTATCTTCTGGTACCAGGACTGATGAGTCTCCCTGGGTGAGCTGAACTCTCTCTGCCCATGCCAGGCCGGCTCCATTGCTAGCAGCTGCTTTGCTACATGAAGGGACTTAAGTGTTGCTTCCACTGAACTGAAAAGACTGGACTTGGCAAGCCCCTTGGCTTAATGAGGTCTGCAAACTGTCTTTGAATCCAAGACTCCCATGATGGTAATTGTTAGCACTTTTCAACACAGCAATCTTTATATGAGGTAAAATATTCAAAAGTGCTTAAGTGAAGGTCAATAAGACCCAGCTATTAAAATAAATAAATAAATAAACCCCAGACCCATAATTAACAGATGTTTGTGGTCCTGCAATAAGTGAAAATATTTTAACAGCCTTTTGGTAGAAACCAAATGGTGAAGTAACCCTTTGGTTAAAAAGCAGCATAACTGTGTAGCCTGATGGGAAGGGCTCCCTCACTGAGAATAAAGGAGCCTCTGGGTTCAGGGAAGAGCTTAGTGCACAGACAGACCAAAACAAAGCCAAAAGGAGGATGCTTGGCAGAGCTTCCACCTGCAGAGCTGTACCTTGGGGGAGCATCTTGTCTGCAGCAGGATAACCTGCTGCTTTTGAGGCAGCTCTTTCAGGCAGTGACACCTCAGTAATTTCCCTGGGAGCTGTTTCCATGTCTGGGGCACCACAAAACAGGCAGCACAGAGAAAAGCTGCACAGCAGGCTGGCTGCATGGAAAGCCACAGCCTGGTGATCCCCCTTAAGCTGAGGGATGATAAGTGACATCTCCAGGGGACGGAGAGGTCAGCTTCAAAGACCTCCGGATACCAAAGTATTTGTCTCTTGCATACTGGCTACGGAATCAGAATGGGGAGAACGCTGTTTCTTCCTTTATGAAATTTAGCCTTTTAATTTCCTTTGCTTTTACTACGTGCGTCCAGAAACAAAGTGTTTCATTTTGGGGGTCAGAAGGAGTTTTTCAGTGCACATGAGGCTCTCTTCTTTTAATTTCATGGAAAAAATTAAGAGTAGGGGGAGAAAGGGAAGTTGCATCTGTTCAATGCAAGCTTCCAAAATGTTTTGAATTCAGCACAGTGGAAATAAATGCAATTATTCACACAACTCTACTCATTTTGCACACGGAAGAGATGATTCACAACTAAAGATTTTTTTAAAAAATCCCATTAATTTACACAGTGAAGAAGCAATATTGAGCATGGGAATATATGTTTTGGATTAAGGACCTGGGTTTGTAAGCATATATGATGGAAATTGAGGAAAAATCCCACTTAGATTTGAGTTCCTCCTCCTGGTAAAGCCTGCAGCTTGTGCAGTCTATCTGGTTATAACTTGCTTTAGCAGTAATAACCTGGTGTAGGCTGGAATACAATCTTTTCACAATAAACCTCAGCTCTACTAATCTGACTAGCTTTGACCCAAGTATTATCAGGCTGCTTTCTCTTGCAGGCTGTGGAGGTATAGTGTAAAATTAGAGGATCTTTTGCCTTTAGGTTGAGCAAATGAAACCAAATTTACGGCAACAAAAACTTTGGCAGCTAACTTGCTGTCTCATTTATCCTTCTAAACATAAATGAAAATCACATGCAAAATTTTATTAATAAAACAACTGTCACTCTTGGTTATTTTAAGCCTGAACTCTGCCAAATGCAAATACAATAAATAATTTTAGAGAGAAAACTGGGTAAGCCAGCCCAAAATCTGCCTTTTTATTTTTTTTATAGAGATGCCAAGACTGTTTGATCAGCATGGGAGAGCAATTTGTTGACTCACGAACCTAGCTCTCTCTGATTACTGCTTACATAGCACTTTGGAAAGGTTGGCCAAATACCTTCAAGTCAAGTACCTTGTTATTATGAACATGAGTGCCAGTAACAAAGAAAAAATAGCCTACATGTCATTGAATAATAAATCATGGAGGCAAATAAATGGCTTTTCTAAGAAATGCTCTATTTACATTTTGTCACGTGACATGGCTTTGCTTACGCTCGTGAACGTGATAACACTTAAAAGAATGCTTCCTTTTCACTGCAGCATCTTGGCATCAATCATCTCAGTGCAACTGCATATTCTGGGATCTGTTTGCAATCAGGCAAACGAAGCAACAAGGGAGATTAAGGGGTAAGACCAATTGTGAGTGCTGGAGCTGTGTTGGTAAACGTAGCTGGCCTTACTCAGCGGTCAAAAACTACCTCCCTCACACGAGCCTTTGGCATAATTACTCATGCAGAACAGGTATTCATCCTCTCCAAGCACCACATAAATGAGGCCATGGTAAAGTTATGCAAAGGAAACATGTATCCAATCTGATAAGAAGTCCCTAATAATTGCTGGTATTTTCCATAATATTAGTTTAGGGCTAGAGCCACAAAAAAGGTTTAGGCATGTAAGCTCTGCCTAACTGCCTCATAGGCATTTGTGGCCAATATTTAGATCCACAAAACCCCTGTTCAGCTACTGCCTAACCCTAGAGGCGTCTGAAGTCTGCAAGTGCCTATGTTCCTGCCAGTAAAATTCCTGAGGTGCCCAAAGGTCTGCTCCTGGGCATGCCTGGGACTGCCTCTGTTTTTTCTTTTTTTTTTTTTTTTTTTTGTCTTTTTTCTCTTCCCTTCTTGAGCTCAGTAAGTAGATACTCAGCTCATATTTAACCCCTGACGGCATCCACCAATGGGAGTTCTGACAAATATCCTTTGAGAAGCCCCAATAGCCCCGTGACCTCAAAAAAGCCCCCCAAAAAAACCCACAACCCCAAAAGTAGTGCAGCTGCTGGAAATAGTAGTTGAACCTCAGTCTAAGCTCTCCACAGTGAGAGGGCACCTGACATTAGGTCCTTTCTCTGCCAGAGAAGGGACACTCCCGCTTACTCCTGTGCTCCAAGCTAAAGGAAAGGATTTTTATCTGTCTAGGGCATCATGAGGGTTTCCCCAGATGAGGCCAGTGCTCTTTTGCAGGACGCAAACCTGCCTCTCTTGGCTGTGTGAGGGATGTCCCTGGAGCTCTGCCCCAGCTGGCAAGTGTCCCTGTGCCCTGCTGTCCAGCCAACAGTTCTGCTTCCCTGTCCCAGTTAACACCCTGGGGTGCCAGGCACAGTGCCAGCTTCAGCAGGGAGGGTCTGGGAGCACTGCAGCTTTCTGCCTCCAGCCTGGTGATCCAGGCACTTGGCAGGACTCTCAGGCTGTGCTTCTGGATGGCCAAACCAGCCATCCCTGCTGCCAAGAATGGGGAGGCCCTTCTCTCTCACCCCACGGTCACAAGCCCTGCCCTCTCTTGTGGCAGTTCTGGCATCACTGGCCTCTGCTGAGGCAATTCAACTTCCTAAAATGCCAGAAAGGCTCCCCCTCACACCCTTGGCAGGTGTAGCCTTCTGCAGGTTTAGTGAGTTATGTCATCCCATGAAAGGATCCAGCCACCCCCAGAACTGGCTGGGAGAAAGCCTTGTGAGCAGCCCTGCTGGTGGGGATGAGCTGGTGCCAGCTCCAGCAAAGACTTTCTTCAGGCATCCCAGAAAACTAAGAAGCCTAACCTTTTTTCTTTCTTTTTCAGAGAAGAAGTTCAGTGGCTGATCTGTAAAATCAGCCTGTGACCATCTTGCACAGGAGCTGATGTCCACAAGAAGTAGCTAATGTGGGCACCCTGCACCAAAGGAAGGTGCAGACCAAAGTGAGATAGCTACTTTTTTGCCAGCAAGATACTTCTTCAAGTGTCTTTTTAATAATCTGAAAACAGGTGTGGAAATGTTCTCCGGAGTAATAGGAGTCAGGTGAATGGGATGGAGGCATTTACGTCTTCCTGCTTCTCACCCTGTCAAATGAGATCTTGGAGTTCAACAATAAAGCAAGTGCCAAATGGAGCAGGTAAGAGAGTCAGCAGAAGGAAGGTGAGATAAAAAGTCAGAATATAGCTGGGGTTAGGAGGGAGAAGGACGAGCTGATGGCTTTCCTTGTGTTTCCTGGATTTAGCACCTTGTTGCTTCACAGTAAGTGGCCACCTCCACTTCTTCAGTTAAAAAAAGCCAGAGAATCTCACACAAGTTTTATTTGTGTCCTTCCTGTTGGGCTTTTAGGAAAGAGACCTCAGCCTGGGTATAGTTGGGCACCAGCATTTAACAGGCCCAGATGGAGTACAAATGACTCAGGTATGGAGCTGTGATTTGCCTTTCTCAAAGGGCTAGGACTCTTTTGGATTCAAGTTCTCGTGCACAGGTAGGTGGCTACATAATTTCAAATCTGTCAGTGGTCCATTTTTTATTTTGGTGAAGAAAGAGTAGAAGAATTTTTTTTCTATGGCCATGCAGACTTGGATTAATTGTGCACACACACACACATACTTGCCTGTATAGTTTCCAGTTCTTAGATGTATTCTTTAACCATGGTTGTACTGGTAGCAGGAGGAGGCAAATCCACAATTTTCCAACAGACATCCCAATGTTATGTATGTAGCAGAGGTTATGTTTGGACCAGAGGGTGGTTGATCTAGAACAGGTTTCCCAGGGTAGTGGTCACAGCACCAGTCTGACAGAGTTCAAGATGCATTTGGACAATGGTCTCAGGCACATGGTGTGACTCTTGGGGTGTCCTGTGCAGGGCCAAGGATTGGAATTCAATGGTCCACATGGGTCCCTTCCAGCTCAGGTTATTTTAAGATTCTAAGGAACTGGAGCAGTTGGCTGGGATGGCTGGTGAGGTTTGACTTTGACATCAGTGTCAAATGCACATGATGCAAGTGTAAGAAGGACAAGACTTGCACTTCACACCTGCTGGTGGCTCCTTTGTTTAGTGATAGTTTAACCAGGTGGCATCTCTTATTTGGTCTCAAAAATAAATATTTCATTTCTTTGACTTTTCAATATGTGGTCACATCATATAAATACCACGACTTGGTAGACACACTAGAGAAAAGCAGGATAATGCCTCCAACTCCTTTTCTGTCACATGTATGTTTATCTTAAGATTTTCTGTCAGTGTTGAGTGCTGTACATATTGAGCTGTACAGATTGAGCCCTTCTGCATATCTGTGAATTCTTACTGCACCAAAGGCAGAGTTCTAACCACCTGGAGGGGCTTCCTAGTGATATAGGATTGCAAAGCATTATTAACAAGCAGTGTGTTATATCTGGTGAGAAAACAAAATAAATGGTTTGCTGTTCAAGTGTCTGCTCCTTCCAGCTTCTACTTTGTGGTGGGCTTAAAATGCCTGGGATGCTTTTGCTTTCTCCATATCTCACCCAGTTTCAAGCATGGAATAAACCATGCTTTTTCTCAATTAAAGAATTAAATGCAGGTTAAATAAATAGTGTTGTCAGCTTCTGCTGTCTTACAACAGCTTGAATTTGAGACGTATTACAGGAGGTCTCTGGTGTTCCTGCTCTCTCCCCTGCTCTCAGCTCTGCTACTTGGTCTGTGAGAAAATGCGTCCTCCTGGTAGTGCCATATTAGAAAGGAGGGGTGAGTGTTTCCTGTCTAGTGGAGCTATCATCAAGTTTCAGTCCAAATAAAGCTGAAAGAGTCTGCAGATTGGGAGGCTTTTCTGGTGAGATTAGCTCTGTACATTTGTTTTTATAGTACTATGGTTGCCAATCAAAGAAGCAAGCAAGTCACTGCTAAATCCAATGCAGACTAAACAGCAAGGGGACTGGTTATGGGAATTTGCTTACAAAGAGATTTCCTGTTCTGTTTGGAGGTCAGTCACAGTAAAAATAAGATAGTAGACATATTTACTTGGTCCCTCGATGTATAAACGTACAAGTAATAATCCCAGGTTAGTATGTGAAGAACATGGGCAGGAATCTGAAAAGTACCCTCAGAGAGAGGCTTTTTCTTGATTGTATTGAGGGGAGACCCTTTCAAACTGAAAAATGCCTTAGTTTTGTCCTGGTTGCCTTAGTTTTCAGACCACAACAAGGGTGTAGATCCTTAAAGACAAATTATGGCAGGTTATTCTTTTGCAATCATACTGGCAAGTTTCTCTCTTAGGGATGAACTAAACTGTTAGCATGTTTTACAACCCCATTTTATTTTTGTTATCCTGAATTTTCATGTAAATGAGAGAGTAGTCACTCAAAAATCCTGTCTCCAGGCATAATTTTAGAAATTAGTTAGAATATCAAATTGCTTCATCTGATGCAATCACACTCTTCCAAATAGGAAGACTAGAGTAGGTTTGTCATTTGTGTTGCCTTGGGGAGCTCCAGGATATGTTTTATGTAATCACACTGACATATTATGGTGAAGTTAGAAAGATGCTGAGGTCAAATCCACAAATTTAGGACTCCTCTGGGCAGCAGTGTCCAGTTCACAGAAGAAGCACAGCCTGGGGACTTTTTCCATAAGACAGTGAGAGTTTGTTCCTTCCATTATCCTCTGAAGAAGTAGAACTGAAGCTGCTTTTCCAAAGAGGATTTAAATGAATATCCTCATTCTTCCTATACTGCATAATACAAGTTCTGCAAGAACAGCCTCAAGGTTTGTCAGATTGATTTTTGCTTGGAAAATTTCTCATTGGAAAATCAACCAGTGACAATTTCTATGCAAGTTTTCTGGTGCACTGGGAGGAACTATGGCTGCCCAGCAGTGTGGTTCATGAGTGATACAGTTGTTTGGCTTATTGCTCACTCATGGGCCTTCCCATTTCTTCTGAGGAAGGGAGCAAAGATGGGCTTTCCCACCACCTACTCCTGGGTATGATATTTCAGATGTGAACAGCATGGGCTAGAGCTACACATAAAGGGTTGGACAAAGGGGAGAGCTGCAGTTCTTGGTGACTGGAGGGGTTGGTACCTGTAGTTATTCCTGGCTGTGGATTAACATAGAGGGAGGAGTTCACAGCACTGGTCAGTAAAGTTATAAGAACCACAATTACAGCCACTGCCCTATCAAAGCCCTTTTATTCTTCCTCTCATTTAGAAACAAATGTACAAGCAAGCATTTTTGAAGTACTAGAGTCCAGTCAGAGTTCATCTAAGCCTACATCAAAGGTGAACCTTTCTTTTTAGATGTGCTACAGGCATGAGCACGGCCCCTGCTAGTCCAGTCTGTTTCTGGCTGATCTCTGTCCTTTTTGTTATGAAGTCCCATGAATTTTCCTTGTGTTGAGTAATGTTTTCTGGCCCCGCTCCCCTGTATATCCCTCTCCTAGCAGATGTTCTATATTCATTCTTCATGTATATCCTATAAATTTTCTCTTAAGCCAACAGATTCATCCTTATGCTTGCCATGGTTTTGTTCCCTTAAATGTCTATTTGCCTTCAGAAGTGTACAGACACGTGCTTTTATCTCTGTTGCATTTCCAGCCTTCACGTCCATATATCCAAATAGAAATGCTAATCAAGTTGAAAATCTGTAGTTTAGTTCTCAAGATACAAACTTTCGATGAACAAATGCAGTTTACTCCAGTAAGTGTATTTGTTGCCTGTTATGACACTAAAATTCATTTCATATTTTGAGAGCCCTTCAATATTTCAAGATTCATGCATTTGGACTTAAGCTGGAGTTAAGATCTGTGAGGATTCTTCTTTAAGGGTGAGGTGTGTGATGCTAGCAGCAGACCATTTCTTTGCCAAATATATAGTTGATTATTTTTTGCAACCTTGGCCAATATCTTCATCTGTACTTGTGTGTACCCCAAATTGTCAAGCACATGAGCTCTATGTTATCTGTGATTCTCCTGGTGTAATATCAAATCATGTGATACTTGTGTTGTGCTTATCTGCACTTTGTCTTAATAGTGACAAACAAGCCAAACAAGAGCAATAAAAGAAGGTGTCCTAGTTTGACAGTGATGTCTGTGCTGCATTTATTTAACTGGCTAATTGAATCTAAATATAAAATTTTGCTCATATCAATTATCTTTGCTTGTATATCTTAACTTCGTCAGTAGGTGTTGATTTCTGCAGTTATTTGCTTTACTAAATCTTCCATTTCTTTATTTGGATATGAAATACAGTGCTTCATAGTTCTGGGTGTTAATCTTTTTGTCTAAATCAATCCCTTCTTATGACATTGATCCATTTGGCATGTCTTGAAAGCATTCTGCAGATTTCATAATGTCATTCATCCTTACTTTGAGTTTCCTCATATGAGAGCAATTACAGTTTAAGCCAAACACACAATGTTGTCATGTGGAAAGAGCTGTGACATATCAATATTGATTGCTGGTGGTGATTCTGATTGTACTAACTCAAATTTGTTAGTGTTTCCTGTTTGAAATTGCTACATTTATGTTTTGTGAACCAGCTTGTTGATATTATCTTCCTTGGTGCTTTTTGGGTTGGCTGGCATTTTTTTGAAGTTAGAGCTTCAATTTTTCTACATGTCAGTTGGAATAATTTCCCATTTCCTCTATAAATGTAGAACCTGGAAAGATGATTCAGATTTCCCTCTACAGCAAAGGTTGGCTAACCTGGTTGGTAGCAATTCTGCCCAGGCAGTTCCATGCATGGATGCTATTGTTTGGCAGCGTTTGTCTTCCAGTTAGGATGCAGACCACCTGCCCCAGTTCCACCAGTTTTCCTAAATTCTGAGTCCAACCAGAACAGCGTGAAGCCCAAGAGGAGGCAAAAATACTAATTGGCCAGACATGCGGGTCCTGCCCCTAGCTCTGAGCTGAGAAAATAGAAGCACCACCACATCTGCCTGTTCCACAGAGAGGGAAGACAGCACAAAGGCCATGGGAGGCACCTGCCCCACCTGGAAGGGCAAGGGGAGGTTTCTGACAGGACATCTGAGGGCTCCTAGCAGAGGCCAGTCCTAGTCAATTCTTTGAAGCAAAGGCTGGCAGAGGTGTCACCCTCTCCCCAGGAACAGTGCAGTCTCCCCAAGTGCCACACATCTTGCAGAGTGCTCTTTCATCCTCAGTCTTTTTCTTTCTCTTCTATGGATGCTGTTAGTGTGCACATTAAATGGGCTGCTTTTCTTTAGGTCTCCCTCACTGCACAAAGTTGAATTTTGACTTAAGTAAAATACAGTTCTATGCAAACTAACAATAAAACTGTAACCTCTGTACTCATTTTTTCCTCAAGTGGCACAGTCTCTAGGTCTTTGCAGAATTCATTGTGTTTTATTCCATAAAGAACATTTTTACTTTCAATTTTTTGTGTCCTTGAAGTAGGAAAATATTTCATGTGATGTTTGGAAGCAAGAGTAGCTATGCAGTCTTTAATTTAAAAAAAAGCCTTTTGACAATCTCCATAAGCTTTCTAATATAT